TAAACTGCGTGTCGACTACAGTCAACGGAAATTTATGCGAGGGTTATAATTTTCACTGGAAACACGAAATGCTAATTTAGAATAGAATAGTTGAACATAAAGTGCTCAAAAACATTTACCCTCAATTTCACCCCAGCCTTTGTGATGGAGGTAATTTATGCGAAGAATGTACTGTTCGTTGGCAACACGATACACTATATTTCAGAAGGGAATGTTAATCAAGATGTTCAATTACACCAAGTTTGTTTTTGGTGTCCTATCTAATATAAAAACATAATACGTGATACGTGGCTTTTAATGGTGACAGGTCCCACATTCTGTAATAAAATCCACCTTCTGCAATACCAGTTGCAACTACTTGGGAACACTATTGAAAACAAACTACCATTTCAAATTCATCCAGCGTGCTTTTCTAGACAGTTAGACACTCAAACTATAGGGTGAGCTCTGAACAAGCTGGGCAAGATAAAACATTATCAGGAACCAAACTTTAATTGATCGACGAAATTCGAACATGGGCTTCTTGTTTACAATCTACATCCTATATATCCCTTGGACCAACTTCGTCCCAGGAATTCGTAATACACTAGTAACTTAGCCATCGTATGTCTGTTTGTGGTAGAAGATCTCGAATACTGAGAACCTCTTGCCAGAGACACTATCACAACCACTATCATAAACCATTTCTTTTTTGTATTCTAGACAAGCAAATATACAATGGTCTCCGAACCACCGAGTCACTATCACATGGTTAAAAGCCATTGGTGGTTGGCACGGTACAACCTTTTGACGACAGAAGTTGCAAGATCTTACCACCAGCCCAACCTTATCTCCAATACAATAAAATTAACTTCTAGAAAAATTTCTTCAAGGTAAAAGCCCAAATTGTTATATATTGTAAGTGTATGAGCGAGCACCTTGACCCACTGACGCTGGACGACACGATGGCCAAGTGTTTGTGTGAGTCACGGTCTTCAGTTGCGCAACAGAACCTGAAACTCAACCTCGAGACCAACCACACGTGAAACCTGTCTTCAACACCACAGTTACAACCTACAACATACAACCTACAACCTACAACATACAACATACAACCATCAACCTACAACATACAACATACAACCTACAACATACAACATACAACCATAAACCTACAACCTACAATCAACAACTACAACCTACAACCTAATACCATCAACCTACAACATACAACATACAACCTACAACCTACAACTTGCAACCATCAACCTACAACATACAACATACAACCATCAACCTACAACCTACAACCTACAATCAACAACTACAACCTACAACCTAAAACCATCAACCTACAACATACAACATACAACCTACAACCTTTAACATACAATCATCAACCTACAACATACAACATACAACCTTAACCTACAACCTACAACATACAACCATCAACCTACAACCTACAATCAACAACTACAACCTACAACCTAAAACCATCAACCTACAACATACAACTTACAAACAACAACCTACAACCTTTGACTTAAGTATCCTATTGTCAATGCTACAACCTACAACCATCAACCTACAACCTACAACCTACAACATACAACATACAACATACAACATACAACATACAACCATCAACCTACAACCTACAATCAACAACTACAACCTACAACCTAAAACCATCAACCTACAACATACATCTTTCAAACAACAACCTACAACCTTTGACTTAAGTATCCTATTGTCGATGCTACAACCTACAACCGAACCATCAACCTACAACCTACAACCTACAACCCACAACCTACAACCTACAACCATTGACCTACAACATACAACCAACCACACGTGAAATCTGTATTCAACACCACAGGTACAACTACAACCATCATCCTACAACCTACAAAAATCTACCTACAACCTACAACCTCCACCCCACAACCTACAACCTGCAACCTGCAACCAAACATCCAACAACCAACAATCTACAACCTACAGCATACAACCTACAACCTACAGCCCACAAACCTCACCCCCACAGCATTCAATCGAACACCCAACAACCAACAATATACAACCTACAACCTACACTTGAGGATTGTTAAGTTGCCAGTGCAAGAAAAGTGAATGTAATTTCAAATGCAGTAAGTGCACGTTGAAAATAACATAAATCATCTGCATTCGTACTTAAAACAGTTTAGTACAGGGTTAAAACTCACCTAAGAAAACATAAAAATTAGTCCATTCATGAAACTTTCAGGAAACGTAGTAATTACCATTAGGTATTGGAATCCGAAGAGTCCCTAGTGATTGTGGGGGTGAAGTACCATTTTATGGGGTTTAAGTTTATGGGGTAGTGATTTTGAGAAATTTTTATTTATGGGGTCCAAGCAAGTGGGGTGTCGTTTTCTATGTTTCTTAGGATGCAGAATCAAAAAAGAACATAATAAAAGCAATAAAACCGACAGTTTATCAGAAAAAGACTAATTTATTAATGAAAAACTAATTAATATCAATAACCTATTACAAAATTGATCATGAGTCTGTGTCACATGTTTAAGTTGTGAGGAAAATTAACCAAGAAACTAGTAGTTACGACTCTTTA